CACACACACGTTGGAATTGGGTCCAGGGGCCTAATTTGTTGACCAAGTGGGATTTATACCTAGAATACAAGGATGGTTCAACATCCACAAATCAATCAGTGTGACATACCACATTAACAAACTGAAGGATAAAAAAAATCTTATCATCATCTCAATAGATGTAGAAAAAGCATTTGGCAAATTTCAATATCCATTTATGATGAAAACTCTCAAAAGAACAGGTATAGAAGGCACATAGCTCAACATAGTAAAGGCCATATATGACAAGCACACGGCTGACATCATATTCAACATTGAAAAAGTGAAAGCTTTTCCTCTAAGAATGCCCACTCTTGCTGCTTTTATTCAACATAGTACTGGAAGCCCTAGCCAGAGCAATTAGGCAAGAAAGAGAAGTGAAAGGCATTCAAATCTGAAAAGAAGTAAAACTGTCTCTATTTGCACATGACAGGAGATACACACACAAACACACACACACTAAAGACTTCACAAAAAAACTGTTACAACTAATAAACAAATTCAGTAAAGTTGTTGGACACAAAATCAATACAAAAATCAACTGTGTTTCTAAACATTAACAATAAATTATCTAAAAAAGAAATTAAGAAAACAATCACATTTACAATTGCATCAAAAAGGCTAAAATACCTAGGAATGAATTTAACCAATGAGGTTAATGATCTGTTCACTGAAAACCATAAGATTTTGAGGAAAGAAACTGAAGAAGACACAAATAAATGAAAATATATACTGTGCTCATGGATTGGAAGACAATATTGTTAAAATGTCCATACTACTCAAAGCAATCTACAGATTCAATGCAATCCCTATCAAAATTCTAATGCTATTTTTCACAGAGACAGAAGAAATAATCCTAAAATTTGTATGGAAACACAACCCTGAATAGGCAAAGCAATCTTGAGAAAGAAGAACAGGCTGGAGGTATCATAATTCCTGATTTCAAACTATATTACAAAGCTATAATAATCAAAACAGTATGGCACTGGTATACACACATAGATCAGTATACACACATAGATCAGAACAGAGAGCCCAGAAATTAACTCACACATATATGGATCAACTAAGTTACAACAAAGGAGGCAAGAGGGGCTTCCCTGGTGGCGCAGTGGTTGAGAGTCCGCCTGCCAATGCAGGGGACACAGGTTCGTGGCCCGGTCCGGGAAGATCCCACATGCCGTGGAGCGGCTAGGCCCGTGAGCCATGGCTGCTGAGCCTGTGCGTCCGGAGCCTGTGCTCCGCAATGGGAGAGGCCACAACAGTGACAGGCCCGTGTACCACAAAAAAAAAGAAAAGAAAAGAAAAGAAAAAGGAGGCAAGAATATACCATGTGGAAAGAATAGTTGCTTCAATAAATGATACTGGGAAAACTGAATAGCCACACGCAAAAAAATGAAACTGGACCCCTATCTTATACCAAACACAAAAATCAACTCAAAATGGATTAAGGAATTGAATGTTAAGACCTAAAACTATAAAACTCCTAAAAGAAAATATAGGGGATAAGAATGACATTAGTCTTGGCAATGACATTTTTGATTTGACATCAAAAGCAAAGGTGACAAAAGCAAAAATAAATAAATGGGACTACATCAAACTAAAAAGCTCCTATACTGCAAAAAGCTTCTGCACCATCAACAAAGTGAAAAGGCAACCTACAGAAGGGAAGAAAATATTTGCAAATCATATGTCTGATAATGAGTTAATATCTAAAATATATAAAGAACTCATATAACTCAACAGAAAACAAACCCCAAAGAATCTGATTAAAAAATGGGCAGAGCATCCAAATAAACATTTTTCCAAAGAAGATATGCAAATGCCCAACAGGTACATGAAAAGGTACTCAACATCACTAATCACCAGGGAAATGCAAATCAAAACCAAAATGAGATACCACCTCACACCTATTAGAATAGCTACCACCAAAAAGACGAGAGATAATAAGTGTTGGTGAGAATGTGGAGAAAAGGGAACCCTTGTGCACAGTTGGTGGGAATGCAAATTGGTGCAGCCACTATGGAAAACAGTATGGTGGTTCTTCAAAAAATTAAAACTATAACTACCACATGATCCAGCAATCCCACTTCTGGGTATATATTCAAAGGAACAGGAAAGGAACAGGAAAACAGGATATCAAATAGATATCTGCACTCCCACGTTTATTATGGTATATTCATAATAGCCAAGATATGAAAACAACCTAAGTGTCTATCAATAGATGAATAAATAAAGATGATATATATATATAGTTATATATATGCTATATATACATAGTGTGTGTGTATATATACACATATACACAAAATCGGCTATTATCTAGCCATGAGAAAGAAGGAAATCCTTGGCTGTGACAACATGGATGGATATTGAGGGCATTATGCTAAGTGAAATAAGTTAGAAAGAGAAACACAAGTATGATATCACTTTATGTGGAATCTAAAAAAGCTGAACTCATAGAAACAGAGACTAGAATGATGGTTATTTGGGACTGGTGGGGTGGGAGAAATGGGAATATGCTGATCAAAAAGTACAAACTTCCAGTTATAAGTTCTGAGGATCTAATAATGTACAGGACGGTGATTATAGTCAATAATACTGTATTGCATATTTGAAAGTTGCTAAGAGAGTGGATCTTAAATGTTCTCATCACAAAAACTGAAACGGTAATCCTGTGATGTGAGGGAGGTGTTAACTAACACTATGGTAGTAGTCATTTTGCAATATAAAAGTGTACGTCTTAAACATATGCAATGTTACATGTCACTTATATCTCAATAAAGCTAGGAAAAAATAAAATGTAATAAATTAATATAAATTCTGATATTTTCTCTTGTGCCTACATGGAAACATAACAAGAAGCAAGCGCATTTTTGTCTTATTTGGTAATAATATTAAACATTTTTTTAAACTTTCCTAAATTTCGTCCAAATTATTGTAGATATAAATACATTTTATGTTTCATATATTTTTACAAATTTTATATAACATATTTTTAGATTTATTTTAGAATTTAATATTTTATTCAAAAATAAAATTTATTTATAATATATTTTTTTATATTAAAAATGGACCCCTGGCTTTACAGAGGAGAATTAAGAGATTTCTCTTCTCATCTCACAGGTGTTTCATCAGGAAAAGATGAAATCAAAACGTCAGAGATTTCTCTGACTTGTGAGAGTGGGACATCTACTCCAAAGTAATGCGCTAAACTGTAAATGAAAAACAAATATGAGGAAAGTTATTTCTCCCTTGGCTTTATAGATGTTAATAATTTACCTTACTGTGTCTTATTCAATAGAATGTTTTCAAATACTATTATACTGCTAATTAACTGCAGCAGCAACTTGAAACCAATCATTCAGAATCTAAACAAAAAGGAATTAAATAATTCAAATGTGTATGTGATAAGTTAATATTTCATCAACAGAACTGTACTTCTGCCTTAAAATTGAATCTCTAGATATGGCTGGACAAGTTGTGTTGCTTGTATTCATCTGGTATTAGCACCAACTAAGGACAGGAGTTTTTTTAGGTGGACTTGGCAATACACACATGTGGTACAGAAATACTTGAAGTGCTGAATCCCATGGTTTTCCTAGAACAACTGTGTTGACATATGCATTCATAACGCAAAAGCAATAGTGAGTAAAACTGCTATGCCTAACACAAATCAAAGAAGGGACAGTAGTCACTGTATTCTTTACTACTACATACTCACAGTAAAAACACTGCCAGTTTCACATAAAAATGCATTTCATGAAAAATATTAATATAAAATATTGATTTCATTAAATTTTACCCTTGAGGATACTTTCAATTAAAAAAATTCTGTGTGGTGAAAAGGTATGCATAAAGCATTTCTGCTACATACCAAAAAATGATGATTGTCTAGAGGAGAAGCACTTGGGAAACTTGCTGAGCTATAAGATCAACCAGCCACTTTTTTCCTTCTTGGAAGTTTACTTGAAAAAAATCACTGGCAGACAAACAATCGTTATTCAGACTTGAGTATTTGGCACATACTTTCTCAAAAATTAGAGAAGTGACCCTAGCACACTAAGGAAAACAACTGACAGTATTTATAACCAATGATAAATTTGAGTTTTTAAGCTCAGAAATTAGAATCTTGGAATATTTGCTTTCACCAATGTGAGCTTTACAGCTTCCCAACACTTATAAGACATTTCTGATGAGACTGGTGGTGAATGAATGTAAATTTTGATAGTATAAAGTGAAATATGTCAATGTTTGGAAGATCTGCCTAACTTAATGAACCAATATTTTCCAAATGAACCATGTATGAAGCTATAAAATAAGATCCATTAAAAATGCAAGACAGACCAATTGGTTTTAATGTAACAGTATGAACAGCTCATTGATATAATTTCAGATTCCACATTGCAACTAACCTTTAAAAAACCACCATTTTCAATTTTTGGTGAGGTATCCATGTCGAATATCCACAATTACCTGAGATGGCTATTAAAATATGTCTTTAACAAGTACATAACTGTGTGAAGCTGGATTTTCTTCATATACCTCAACCAAAAAAACATATTGCATCAGACCGAATACAGAAATATCTGTGAGAACCTAGCTCTCTTCTTTTAAGTCAAACAATAAAGAGGTTTGCAAAAATGTGAAAACAATGCCACGCTTGTTAGACAATTTTTTTCTTGGAAAATGTCACTGTTTTTCATTAAAAATACGCTATTTGTATTAACATGTAATCAATTTATTGTTATTTTAAAATGAAGTGATAAATATTTTTTAAACTTTTGTTTTAATTTCAAATATGGTAAATATTGATAGACAGAACCCACATTTTTTAGAAAGCTCATTGAGATCCTCAATAATTTTTAGGAATAAAGTGGTACTGAGACCAAAACATTTGAAAACTGCATTTCCAACATACTAAAGTATTCTAAGAAAAGGAAAAACAAAATTGAATGATAAGGTAAATGGTCATCACTTACAGCAAAAAAGCCTCATTCACAGCATCACAGAACTCAGGCCAGAGCACTTCCTGAGGTTCATGTCCATGGTAGGTGAGCAGAGCCTCTACCAATGGTTCAAAATCTGGCAGAGTAACAAGTGGGACACAAACTCGTGACAGGGACCTTACTCGTTCAGGAGCCATTCTATGGAATAAATAAAATGAGAAGTAAGTACCCAAATCTTACAGCCACATGTACTGATAGTTAAAGGCATATAAAATCTTCATGTTAAAAAGGTTCATGACAGGTCATTTGCTTTGCCCCTCATATAAAAAGGGGTACCCTAACACCATCTATGAACTCTATTCTCTTACATAGTTCTCTAGGAAGAAACCCTTTAGCTGCAGTTCCCATTTTGATCTCTCTCATTGTCAGGACTGTGGCTTAACCCTCTACAGGCACCTCCAGCTTACCATGCCCAAAATAGAACTTGAATTCCTTCCCCAAATGTTCTCTTCCCCCAGTGCTCCCTATCTCATTTGCTCAAGCCCAAACCCTTGAAGTCCATCCTTGATACCTCCTTTTTCTCTCCTGCCCCTTATCTGATCCAGTGGTTAATACCATTAGTTCATTTCATTACTTCTCTATACATCCATCACTACCACCTAATTCACCATCACCTCCAGCCTGGGTTACTGTAGGGCCCTCCTAATTTTCTCCCTGCTTCTGCCCTCACCTGTCTTGTCTATCTCTGGAACAGGTCCAGACCCCTTAAAAATTCAGATCACTTCACTTGTCTGCTCAATGGCTTTCCACCTCACACAAAGAACAAGCCAAGTCTTATATTAGTTGCCAGGGCCTTCCATGGTGGGGCTCCCTCTGTTTCTCTGGCTTCATCTCTTTCCACTCTTACCTTGCCCATTCTGCTCTGGCCTTTCCAGCCTCTGACTACTCCAGATAACTTCCTGTTGTTCATTCTGCCTGGAACACATGGTTAGCTCCTTCATCTTGTAGGTCTCAGCTCAAATCTTGCTTTATGTAGGGGAGTTCCCTGACCATCCCATATAAATGCACTGGCTAATATGGTAGCAATCAACCACATGTGGCAAGTTAAACTTAAATTAACTGGAATGAAATGAAACTTAAATTCCATTCCTCAGTTGCACTAGCACAGATCAAGAGTTCCAACAGCTACATGAGGCTAGTGGTTTACTGTATCAGACAGTGCAAATTCACAAGGCTTGTCCATTACTGCAGAAAGCTCCACTGACTGCAGAGCTAAACATAGTAAGTGTCCTCTTATCTCACTGTGTTCTTCTTCTCTCTCTTACCCTGTTTTACTTTTCTTCACAGTACTTTTCATCACCTGACCTATAATGTATTTGCTTGTTTATTGTTCATGGTCTGTTTCTTCCTGCTAGGACATCCACTCTGTAAGGGCAGGCAGTTTTCCTATTTTGCTCACTCCTCTATTCCTAGTATGTAGGGACAACTCCTACTTATAGCTCCAGAAACAGATATTAAATGAATAAATGAACAACTAGAAACCAGGAAGATGAAAGTTTGGGATGTATGCTATTAGATCATTCTCTAGGTATCTTCATATAAAACCATAAATCTACAAATTTAGTCCTTTTTTGTGAAACACAAATGAAACCACAATATAGAACATATAGCTGTCACTCATTTTTTTTTACTTGTTGCCTATTTTTAAAATATATGTTTTGTATTTTAACAATATCTCCATTTATGGGCATTTAGGTTGTTTCTAATTTTTCACTATGAAATACTGCTGCAGCAGTATCCTTGCACATGCCTGTTTGTGCCCCCATGTGAACATCTGCATATTGAACTGCTTTCCAAAAGACTACCAATTTACTTTTCTACCCCTGACAGTGATATTATTCTGGATATATTTATTTCTTCCTAATCTGGGCAAAAATTATCCCATTGTTTTCATCTGCATTTCCCTGATTTTTTGTTTGTTTGTTTTTTCTTTTTGGCGGTACGCGGGCCTCTCACTGTCGTGGCCTCTCCCGTTGCGGAGCACAGGCTCCGGACGCGCAGGCTCAGCGGCCATGGCTCACGGGCCCAGCCGCTCCGCGGAATGCGGCATCTTCCCGGACTGGGGCACGAACCCGTGTGCCCTGAATCAGCAGGCGGACTCTCAACCACTGCGCCACCACGGAAGACCCCCTGATATTTTTTGAGATTGAATATTTGTGTGTTCCCCACTTGTATTTCTGCTTCAGTGAATTTGCTTTTAAATTTTTGTATATTTGTCCTATTTATTCATCTAATAAATATTTTTGAACCCTTACTATATTCAAACCTGTTTGCAGTGGTAGTGCTACAGAAGCAAAGACAAGACAAAGCTTAGTAATGAAAAGCATAAAATGCCAGATGATATCAAGTGCCATAATGAAAGTAAAGTACACTGAGGGGTAAGAGAGGGCAAGAATTTACTGAGGGGAGCATTTGAGCAGAGATCTAAAGGAAGTGTATGAACAAACCATATATGTACGTGGGAGAAGAATGTCACAGGCAGATGCAAAGCAAACACGAAGCCCTGGAGTATCTAAGTACAACAGAGTCCAAGGTGGCAAGTCCACAGTGAATGTGGCGGTGGCGGTGGGGAGGGGGCGGGGAGGAAGACAGGTTTTGAAGAGACCAGTGTAAGAACCTGGGATGTTAGTCTTTTTTTTTAAACTTATTTTTTAGTTTTATCAAACTTACAGATACAACTACCTTAAACAGTCAAATAGCTCTTCAAAGCTTATGAAAAAACAGCAGCTTTTGAACAAGCACTCCCACTCCCATTTTCTGATCTCAGAGGCAACCATTTTCAAGTCTAACTCATGCTTTAGGTATTTAATATGTGTTTTCCTGTGGGTTTAGTGACTATTATTTGGCTTGCTTGTTTGCTTTTTTCTTGGCACTGATGATTATTTTAACGCTAAACTCCCGCCCAAGTATGTAATCTCCTTGCAATACGTTCAAACATATCTGATATTCTGCCATTTTCATCTTTTTAAAAGAAATTTCTCCTAGAACCTTCTGACCTATTCCAATCTGAACAGGTTGCTTTTTACTCCCTTTGTACAGTTATCTTGGGACCTCTACCATAGGGATTTCTTTCACGTCTCTCCTGGATCCCATATCTTCTTCTTTCTTGGTTTATTCTTCTTACGTGAGAAAAGGTACAAAAGAGGTAAAGTATTTGAGACCTTGCATGTTTGAAAATATCAGTATTTTACTCTCATACTAGATTGATACTTTGGCAGATTATAGAATTCTGGTAATTTTTCTACAGAATTGTGAAAGTATGGTTCTACTATCTTTTAAATTTCAGTGTTGTTCTTGAGAAGTCCCATGCTGCTATGAATCCTGACCCTTTATATAAGTCCTGTTTTTACTCCCTGGAGGCTTTTGGATATCCTCTTAGAAATTTCACATTGATGTGTCTTGGTATGCATTTATTTCTATTCATTGTGCTGGACATTCAGTGGACCTTAAATCCGGAAAGATCTTTTGAATTTCTTTGATGATTTCCTACCTATTCTTTTCTCTGTTCTTTCTGGGGACTCTGATTTTTTGGATATTGAACTTCCTAGACAGTTCTCTCTTATCTTTTCTTTCTTATTTTTCATCTCTTGGTCTTTTTGCTCTAGATTTTGAAAGAATTGTTCAACTTTACTTTCCAATCTTTTATTATGTTTTTAATTACCACTCTCTCATTATTAATTTCCAAGAACTATTTTCTTCATTCTCTGGATGTTTCTTTTTTTTTAAAAAAACAGCATTCTGTTCTTTTTTAAAATTTTATTTTTGTCTTAGGACTCCTTTATTGATTTAGTTTTATTGAAGTATAGCTGCTGTACAATATTATATAAGTTACAGGTGTACAACATAGTGACTCACAATTTTTAAAGGTTATACTCCATTTATAGTTATTATAAAATATTGGCCATATTCTCCAGGTTGTACAATATATCCTTGTAGCTTATTTTATACCTAACAGCTTGTATCTCTTACTCCTCTACTCCTATATATTGCCCCTCTCCCCTTCCATCTCCCCACTGGTAACCAGTAGTTTGTTATCTATATCTGTGAGTCTAGCATTCTGCTCTTGTTTAGTGGATATATTACCTTTTATTTTAGTAGGGACTTTTTTTTTTTTGGCTGAGTTGGGTCTTAGTGGCGACATGCAGGATCTTTTTGTTGTGGCGCGTGGGCTTCTCTATAGTTGTGGTGTGCGGGTTTTTTTTTTTTCTCTCTCTTTAGTTGTGGCGCAGCAGGCTCCAGAGCATGTGGGCTCTGTAGTTTGGGGCACGTGGCTCTCTAGTTGAGGCAGGCAGGGGCTCAGTAGTTGTGGCACACGGGCTTAGTTGCCCCGTGGCATGCGGGATCTTAGTTCCCCAAGCAGGGATTGAAACCACATCCCCTGCATTGGAAGGTGGATTCTTTACCACTGGACCATCAGGGAAGTCCCTTAATGGGGACAATGACATGAATTTATTTTAGATGATCTTTTCTTTAAATAATCTTTTTTTTCTTTATTTTCACTGGTTTCTACTTTCAAGACTATATGCTTAATATATTTCCTTAAATATGTAGTGACCATTGCCTGTCATCTTTTTTTTAAACACCTTAAATATATATATATATATATATATATATATATAAATTTATTTTATTTTACTTAACACCTTCAATAACCTTTATTGAAACCAACATTCAAATAGTATCTCAAGGGTGAAATTCTGTTTCAGCAAAACCAATTTAACAATTTCAAATATATATAAAAACATTTAAAAAGTAATCTTGTTAAAGGTGATCATTTCTCCTTCCCCCATTTTATCTTCTATACATTGCTGCACCAAATAAACAGGGAAGACTCTGTTCAACCATCTGCACCAAAAAAAGAAAAAAAAAGAAAAAAGAAGAAAAAGAAAAGAAGGGAAAATTGCAGTTTGACAAGTGCCAAATATCAGAAATCACATCAAATCAGAGTGTAATTATAGGCTTAATGTGTTATAACTAAGGCTTTCGATAGTACAGTCCACAAACCCAATGTGAATTCCCACCATTTTAAGGGCTCCCGTAGCTTGACTTTGCTGGACTAAAACGCACAGGGGCCGTTACCTATGATAAATGAAGTGATGCAATACTTTTGGAAAAGTAGAAACGGGTAGTAACTAAGG